GAAACAGATATCAACAAATTGTCAGATATATTGGAATGAACTTTGATAAAAATATTCTATAATTCACAAAGTTGTTGAATATGAACAGTTTCCGAGTATTATTGGACAGAACAGTATAATATTTTGAACTCTACAGGATGGCCGTAGGAGGATCTTTGAATGGTTTTCTGACGGCTTTCGTAATGGCAGACCAAAACAAATCTTCGCCTAACCCTTTTTGATATCGTAGATATGGCGTCGTGTCAAGTAAAGACCTGATAGAATTAGTCATGTGACTTGAATCTATTTGACTGTGCATTATAAGAACTAACGCATTTTTCCCATGGCGTCGTCTTCTTTCCTGTACAAGGTTTAGTTCCCATTGGCACCATTCACTTTTTGTAAAGTTATTCGACATAACAACAACTACTTTCCAGCTTTTGCCAATATACTTAGTAATATTGTCTATGACAGGTTCTCCAACATCAAAATCTCGCTGGTGAATGCAAACTTTTAAGTCCATCTCTTCAAGGTGTTTAAGGAGCTCCAAATGAACCCACTGTCGATCTGGATCACAGTATATCACAAATGCGTCGTATTCAAAGCTTGCAGAGGAATTTACTCTGATATATCCTTTCCTTTTCCGTTTTATAACTCGAAATAGATAAATTAAATTGCGAATGTTTGCCTGACAATTAAACATTAGAATTAAAACAACAGTGACAAGAAAAATTGATACAACAATAACAATGATTATTGTAAAAATCGGACTTCATGTTGAGCAGTCGGCGTCTGTTGGCTTATATTTCACGAGAAGAAGGTTTTTCTTGTACTCTGGGTATTCGCACCTGTAGAAAGTTGGCCAATTTTTAAGTATTTTAGAAAAGTTCGAGGAACGTAAATAATCAAAAAACCATTTCTGAGTACATGTACACCAGAATTTGTTTTGTGATATATCAAATGATTCCAAAGATCGTAATAATTGGATTGGAAACGATGATTCATTAATAACTCGAATGTAGTTTCCATCCATGTATAAATTTCTCAAAGACGTCAGATTTTCAAACACTCTTCGATTCCAAGTTGTAATTCTATTACCCTTTAGATGCAGGGTTTTTAAAAATGACATCCTTTGAAATAATCTTTCTGGCAATTCCCTAATATACGTAGCTTGTAAATTCAGTTCAGTCAAATTTGACAGTGGATAAAATATTTTCCGAAATAGACCAGGATCGTTTGTCATATGATTTCTCGTTAAATCTACTTTTTTTAGACTTGAGGCGTGTTTGAAAAGTTCACTAGGATCATAGGAAAACGTTTTATTTTTTTTCGAACTCTCAAAATGGAACTCATTTTGAACAAATTTTAATACTTCCAACGAGGGGCATCTAAATGCTGTTGGTTTAATTGTTGAAAGATGAGGCATCCGACTGATTAATAGTGTTTTTAAATTTGTAAGACGGTAAAAAATATCATTTTCTAAAACCAAAACACGGTTTTCGTCCAGAATAAGCTCCCTTAGATTTTCAAGACAGTTAAAAGATGACAAACCTAGCTTACGAATTGCGTTGTCTGTTAGATCCAGGCGAGATAACTTGGGTACTAAAGACTGTCCTGCTTCATTGGAACAGAAATTTGGAATCTCAAATATATTATTCGAAATAAGAACTAGATTATGAACTGCGTGTAAACCACTTGAATTTAAAGATACAAGCTCATTTCTTTCAACACTTAGTGTATGTATCTTTGAAAATTCCGACAGCTGACTGCTATTAAAATTCCTCAATATGTTGTCGCCAAATGATAGTTTTTCCAAGGCGTAATTTATGAAATCAGAGAAGAAGTCCAAAGGAAGCATAGTCCATCCATTGTTTATAAAATACATTTTTTGCATTCGTAGTTTGTTTAGACTTTTGAAGGACATTTTCAGAGAAGAAATATTCAATTTTCTTTCATGTGATATTTTTAAATGTCTGAGATAATTCATTTCCTCAAAGGCATTTACCGTCAATACTTCTATTGAATTGTTCATGAACGTTAAACTTGTTAAGTTATTGTTCGACACATTTCGAAATGTGTCCATACTGATATGAGATAAGAAGTTGTTTTCCAATTCTAATATCACTACATAACTTGGTACTCTTGGAATATACATTAAAAGGTTACATCTTGCGCTACTATGTCTTCTACTACAGCTGAGGAATTTTTTCAAACATGGTACATCGCTCTTTTCCGTTCGAATTTGAACATAATTGTACCAAATAAAGCAAAAAAAATATAGCTTTAAAAATTCCATGCTAACTAGTGCGAATGCATCGACATAAATGATATGGATATTTATTTTTGGTCAATTATAAATGCAGCTTCCTTCCGAACCATCTCTTGATTGAACTCACTCAAAGTCATAACATCCTGGGTTTTTTTTCACACAGATGAAAAATATATTACTTCCTCATGTAACTAACAGCACCAAACATTATTATTTTTTTCAAACGAATGTAAAAAAAAGTGTAAAAAAGCAAGTAAAAGATAAACTTTCTTTTATTATCGACAATTAAACAAATTAACTAGAATTAAATATTAATTTTTATCACACGTAGTCCTTTAGGGCAGTATGAGCATATGTTGTTGTAGTATTGGTAGGGTTAGTCTAGATATGACCAAAGAACTACCCAGAAATCATCCTCTTCCGGTAATGTAATGGCTAACAAACGACTGTATCATACTGAAGAGCAATCCGGCCGTTCCTGACTGCAGGAACGACCATCAAAGGTATTTATCGGTATTAGGTTAATATCGGCAATTACAACATTGGCGCTGCGAGCAATAAGCGGGCAGTGTCAGGACTATAAGGGCTATTTTTAGGTTTTTGCCGTGCCGGTGGTGGACGGCAAAAATAGTAAGACAGAAGGGAAAAGGGTGTTTTGGTTTATTCCAGCGAGGGAATAAATCATTTCAGGCATTTGTGCATTTCAGGCATTTGTGGAGTATTCTGGAGGAATACTTCACAGTAGTTTAGGGGAAAAGATTGTGGCATAAGACGACAGGTTATTACCTTGCTTGACCTAGAAAGGACAGCTGGGTACCAGTCACCGGTAACCACAGACCAGAAGGACGGGTTACCAGTCGACTTGTTATTGTTTTGTTTACTTCCGTTAACCGCAGACCAGAAGGACGGGTTACCAGTCGTATTGTTATTGTTTTGTTTTCTTCCGTTAACCGCAGACCAGAAGGATGGGTTACCCGAAGCATTTGTGCTATTTAATAAATAACTTATGATATTTAGTGTGTAGTTTGTTGTTGTTTATTCTTTAAATAAATAAACTTTGTTACCAACTGTTGTCAGTGATTTACAGTTACACATGTCACTGGTAAACATAAACACGTGCAGTTTTCAAGAGTTGCTCCAGCTCACAGGTATAGGCATCAAAACTGGGGAGCAAATAATGGACATTAGGGATGGCAAGGACTTTGTGACTGAGGCTGATTTAGCCTCTATATCCTACCGAAGAGTCACTATGGCCCTCATAGCTAGGCTGGACTTCAGCACCAATGGGGGTGGTTAAAATATTGGGCCACCACCTGAGGCCCGAGGTAAACATCAATCAATGATAAACACTATTATAGATGGGGGAATGGTTGCCTCACCAGGCATGCCATGCCAAACACATGGTCAGTCTGTATTTAAGCAAGAAGGATGGCACCAGGGGCAAAGTCCTGGGGCTTTGGGAGGGCTCAGCCAGTTGGACTCCTTGAGTATAGTTCATATCCTGAGGAGGCCAGATCTAGACCTGAGACCCCAGCTAATTGGAGCGGGGTCTACGGGGAACAGTTGACGCAAAAAGAGTAGGGCCACCACAACGCTGGTGACCCAAACCAGGGTAACAACCCTCACCCCGGGGGTAGTAGTAGTATTGGTTACAAGCCGTATTGGCCAGGCGAACACCATACATGGGACAAGAGTGCCCCAAACAAAGGGGCACACCTTTTCCCAGGGGTCACCCCAGGGGTCACGCAAGCAATTATACTAGTCAGGGGTCAGCACCTGGTACACAACCGGCGAGCACCGGTGGGGGACTGTATGACACACCCCTTAGTAGGTATGGCAAGTGGCAAGACAATAGGGGCGAGGACACAAGGCAGACCCCAGTCCACACCTATGGAGATATGCAAGACAATAGGGGCGAGGACACAAGGCAGACACCAGCCCACACCTATGGAGATAGACAACCCCAGGGTCGGTATAATCAAGGGTACACACCGGTGCACCAAGAAGGGATCACCGCAGGGGAGAGCTATGGGCAGCAGGCCTACCTAAGTGGCATATAATGAGGATAGGCCTAGGGAAAATACAAGGGGACCCGACAGCAGAGGTGGGTCACGAGGAGTTTCAAGTAGCGCCTCAAAAGTCAGCAACTCCCCGAAAAATATTAAGTATGAAGGGAAGGGCAACTGGCAGGCTTTCTTCACAAAATTTGCAAGGTATGCAGAGGTTTGTGAGTGGGGCCCACAAGAGTGCAAAGATCAATTTTGCTGGTGGCTTGAGGGAAAGGCAAGTGAATATTATGCCCTCATTATGGAAAGAGACAGGGAGGTGAGTTATAGGGAGCTAGTTGAAAAACTGCACAAGCGTTTTGGTTTCCAGGCGCTCACTGAGACTGCCCGGGTCCATTTCAACAATGCCCGGCAAGCCCCTGAGGAGTCTCTTTGAGGACTGGGCTGACCGTGTGTTGTCCTTGGCGACCAGGGCATTTAGTAACATCCCTGATGAGTATATGTATGAGTAAGCCGTAACACGACTCTGCCAGGGCATTGAAAACAAAGAGTTGGGAGCGCAAGTCTCTAACCTCCAACCCCAAAGTATTGAGGAGGCAGTAGACAAAATAAGGTTATTTCAACATAACACCCAGGCAATATATGGCAAGCCTATTAGGCGTGAGGTCAGGCAGGTAATGAGTGGGCGTTATGAGGACCACCCTGAGGCCTACCATGAGTATCAGGTGCCCCATGAAAGGGCTACTATGGCCCCTGAGAGGGCCCCAGCTAGTGCATGGAAAGCAGAGCTGGAAAAGACAGATAGGAAGTTTCTTCTAGTCCATGAAAAACTTGACGACATTATGGACCAATTCAAGAAACTCCTCCCCTGCCCAGTTGCAAGAAGCCCATCACCGGGCGGACAGGCAGTGACAGAAGATTGCTACTACTGTGGGGAGAGGGGCCATTTTAAAAAGAAATGTCCAAAGTTTAGAGGTAAGTCCCTGTTAGGGAGTCCATCCCATCACAGAGGACCTCCACTGGAGGGAGTGTGCTACCACTGTTTTAACCTTGGACGGACTGTCTGGATTTCCAGGGGAAGGGTAAAACTGATACTTTAATGAATCAGTCAAGCAGAACTGTAACGGGTCCATTAAACTTCAACGGGACTACTCAGGAGGCTGGAGTGAGTCCCCGCAAATGAAGTTAGGCCTCTCAGTAGTCGAATCTGTACCCCAAGTCAGAGTAGCGGAGGTAGCTATATTGGGCCCAGGGGTTGGTGCCAATCTCCCCAGGGACAGGGAGGGGAACAGACAATCTAGGGTGTCGGTGGAGGTTAGAGCAGAGATTGAGTCAGAGCAGTGCTCAAGTTCTGACAAAGAGGCAACTCCTTCAGGCGGATTGGACTGCTACTTATTAAAATCTCTTGCTTACATATTGAGGCATGGTGCACTGGAGTTGAGCCACAGACTTCTCCCTGGTGGGTATTTGTTGGTGGAGGAAATCCTTAAAAAGCACCCAGGCTTTGCCGGGTACTCTTTACCGGATATTCATAAACTGATCAAGGTTGACGTGGACAGGAGTTTCACTTTGATAAAGGACACAGACAGTGGTTGTTGGAAAATTAGGGCTAACCAGGGGTATTCCTTGGTGGGGGATACCCCAGACATACCATTAGTAGAGAAATGTGAGGTGCCCCAAGGCTACCGTTACACCACAATGGCCTCATGGGGCCATATAAAAGAGGAGGGGTTGCGGAAAATGGGGAGGCAGTATATACACTTAGTTGATAAAGTGCCAAACAGCTTCAAGCCCCATTGGGAGGTAGAGGTAGAAATAGATATACAGAGGGCGCAGGCCGAGGGCTACAAATTCTTTTGGTCTCCTAGCGGGGCAGTCTTGTGCCCTGGTAATCAAGAAGGGATAATAGTGCCCACTTATTTTATCCGGACCTTACATTTAGGTTCAGGTGAGGAACTGGACTTGGGCAACATAGTTGCTCCAGTAGTGCTCACAGGGGACCAGGAGGGTCCGGTAGCCAATATTGAAAGGAAACCGATAGGAGCTATCTTGGCAATGGAGGAAAGCCATAGCCTTCACGAGGTTGCTGCCCCAACAGAGACAACTTTGGCATGTGATGAGGAGGCCCAAGAAAGTTGGGATTCCACCTCAGAAGGTGAGGCAGATACCACATTGGTAGAAGAGGCCAGTGATGAGGAAACAGTTTGTCAGCGATATTGGGGGCCTACTCCTGTTGTAGATGGAGGAATGACGGACAATATTGCAAAAGGTCCTACATCCCTTTTTTTTGTGGACCCTTCCTTAACGGGAGAAATTGACCGAAAGGCCACAGGGTTCACAACGGGAGAATTTGACAGAAAGGCCACAACTGAAAGAAACATTCCACTCTACAAAGGAACAGTTATCATTGACAAATCTCCCGTCAGCCAGAAATCTGCATCCGTTAATACAGAAAGCCTCAATTCAAGATTGGGGTCACTTTTCAAAGCAGAAAATATTGGCGCTAGGTATTGTAATCTGCCAACACCTACAGTAGACAGTGGGACAACAGTCTTATGTGTGACCATTGCCACAATCAGATGGGGTACCAGTAGAAGACAGTGGGACCCTGGAATTCCCGCCCTTTACAAAGGTATAAAGACAATACAAGTAAAGATTTAGAATGAAGGTGGATCCGCACAATCTCCTAGGTCCAACCAGGACTTGCAGCCCTTCAGCGTCCAGGGCTTAGTTTTTATAAAGGAGAGGGGAAGTTGGTGTATGATCCAGAGAAGAACAATTCCCAGGTTATTGGATTCCCAATTTGTTGGGAACACATTGTATTAATTGTTAGTGTATCAGTAGACCCATAGATACAAAGGGTCTGTCAGGGGGTGGGGATAGGTTGTATACTTTTTAAATTGATGTATATTTTCTATAAATTTAGTATGATTTCCGTTTTTTGTTAATTTTGGGCGAAATTCACAGGGCCCACCTCAGTAGAGGGTGCCTTATTAATAAAACTGGGGGGAGTGTAGTATTGGTAGGGTTAGTTTTAGGTCATCAGATACACCATCTAGAGATGTCCGAAGAACTACCCAGAAATCATCCTCTTCCGGTAATGAACTAATGGCTAACAGACGACTTTATCATACTGAAGAGCAATCCGGCCGTTCCTGACTGCAGGAACGACCATCAAAGGTATTTATCGGTATTAGGTTAATATCGGCAATTACAACATTGTGATGGTTACATTGCGTCCATCGTAAATGTGTTTTTTTTCAAAAACTTTCTCTAAAACTGCATGAAAAACAAATGTTTTGAAACTGGCAGTAATGATGTTTGCAATGTCCTCTTCAAACGATCCTAATTTTGTTTCTATCGAATAAAAAATATGGCTACAACGGCTACAATATAATATATTGGTAAAACTGTGTTTTTTTCTTGTATCTCAAAATTAAAGCAGCTAGAGCAAACTGACATAAGGTTAATATGATCACTAGGTCAATTCTACCAAGTATGAAATATAACAAGAAATCGCAGGTGTTTGGCATTTTTTTTATTACAGATTAAGAGAAACTTTAAATAAATCATAATAAACAAAAATTACAAGCACCATCTCACCAGGTCTACGAATAAATAAATCACCACATCCGGAACCTTTGAGGGTAATTGAACTTAAATGACAAATTCGACCTTTTTTCTTGGAGGTGATATTGTCGGGTACGTTTTACCTCAAACTCTATGGGAACTCACAATTTTTAACTCCAATTTAAAACAAAATGGTAAAAGATATCACAAAGACATTCTAAACCTATGTTTGATATGATCAGGAGATTTGCAAAATCGATCTCAAATTAAATTTTAGTGATTCAACCAAAAATAAATGAAATCTTTAAATTTGTTTTATTATATATTATTATATATAATATATGGTATAACCCGAGGATTTGTCCCCGCTTCAACTCCAATATTCAAATACTATTAGATAAACACAATCTAATTATCTGATTGGTCATATTCAGCTGTGATGCAAGCATGAAATTATGTATTGACACCTGTTTAATGCCATTAAATGACCTTTTTCGTCAATCTATTGCTGACTTTGTTCCTTTCAAAACAGTAAAGGATAGAGAGAGTAGCAAATACGATCAATTTAAGAGATGCGGAAGATACCAAAAGATATATTCAAACTCATAAATCGATTCAATAAACTGACACCGCATGGCAAAAAAAGAAAGCGACCAAAAGAAAACAAAAACCAGTAGATAAAACAAAACATTGAAAACTAACGACTAAGCAACACAAGCCCTATAAAAACCGGGGGTGATCTCCGGTGCTCCGAAAGGGTTGGCAGATCCCGCTCCACATGTTTGCTTTGCATCAAGGTGCGAAGCGATATTCACGCCATCTTGAAATTATTATGTAACAAATATCGGTTCTCATTGGTTGTCTGTTGTTGATGGAACGATTCTATTGACTAGAATGAGATACAGAATTGGGAACATGTCCCGGACAGGAGAAGATATTAAATACGGACATGGTTACAGTATAGGTATTCAAGATCCGATCTGGTACCCCACCAAGGAATAGTTTTTTTTCCTTTACAGGTTTACCTTGTTATGTAATGTCGATTCAATTCGTGTTGATAAATTAGAAGAGGGACAAAGATAAACAAGTTTCGGAGTGCATGCTCATCTGACTATATATGCATATACACCAACACTTAAAATACATATAACTGCCATTGATCTCAAAGACAATTATCAGAATACTTGAATTCCATGTTATAAAACAAAATCATACATAAAAAAAACAACTACGTCAAGACCACATGATACCCCGAATTGTGCATTAGGATCTGACATATTTATGAATCTGATAACAAATTAGTAACATTGCTGTGTCATGAGGATATCCATATGTAAATACATATTGCGTCAAAATCGACTGTTAAAAATCCCATAACTTTATGGAACGACAAAACTATATTTTTTTCAAATCCAAAGCGAGTCTAGATTCGCCAATACCAACATCAGTGTAAAGTTTGTAGTTTATCCAAACATTCTAGATCTAGAGTATGCCATGTAGAATATTACCATGAGTCCCATAACTGTGGAATGACAATAAAAATAATCAAAATCAAACAGTATACTCTGGAATGACGACACACAAGAATTTAAATATCAAAAGGGAGTTTTTTGTCTATCAATCCTAATGTTCCGTTTTAGTTTCGTTGGAATTGGTTAAAGTAAATTTAAGTTTTTGTAGGAAGTATTCATCAAGTTAACCACAATTCACCAATCTAAGACGGGTTTAGATCACACATATGAGTATATACACAAAGGGGACAAATAACACCTTTCTCGTACTTAAACAACCACATAAACCACATCTTACTTAAAATTATGATACAGCGAAAACTAAAAGCTAAAACTTGCACTCCTTTACATTGGCAAGTTCTACCAATGACGAGGCATCACGAAATAGCGGATTGGTAATAGCCTCTAATCTAACCATAAGACATAACCAAACTCGTAAACCATGAAATTGACTCCCAATCATTACCCTTTGTAATTTTTGGGCTTTTTTTCTTGAAAACTATAATCAAAGAAAACCGCAAATAACGAAATTGATTGGTAATATAAGTTAACAAATAAGTCAAACAGAACTGAATTTGTCAATCGACTCTACATACGAGTTCTTGCCTTGGAATGATGATTTTAACCCTTTTTGGGGTATTTTGGCTTTTATCTCAAATAAATTTAGTATACGATTTGGATGTGGGTCGTTCATTTCATTATTCTTTAACTTTTCAGACAGTTTTCTCTATCCTTTATTTATTTTGATTCTTATTCTCAACACCCCATTATTCTCCATTCTTTTTTTTTTTTTTTGCCGATTTTTCTGTATTCTTTATATTTTTGTCTCTTTATTCTGCACTTATTGCTCATTGTTCTCTATTCTGTAAACCCCACCCAGATTTTTATGATAGATAGAGAGAAACTGTATCCTGCAAAAAACGATTAGAAAGGTATGATCTACAAATAAATCAACATAACTGAAATTGTCCGTCAACATTTAAATACTAAAAAAGTAACCCGGACAAGCGCAGGTATGAAGGAATCGATACTAAAACACATTAACTACAAACTTTTCACTGATGTTGGTATTGGCGAACTACTAAAACACATTTATAAATAAAGCAAATTACTACATCAGTTATTTTGATATGGTGGCTGGTTGTTAAAAAAACGTGGATGTCCTTATTATAATTTTCTGAATTTAAGTTTGAATGAATTTACTAGTCATGACTTAAACTACAATCTTTGTAGTTTATTAATTCATTCGATAGATTATACCGTGGAGATATTGGTATTCTATAAATGGGTTGTACGTCAAAGAGACAGCAACCCAACCATAATTATTTTTAATTAACTCTTTTTCTGTAAAATAGTCTTACTGTACAGTGGAGATACTGTTACGGATACATTTGTAAAAAAGGCAAAGTACAAGTTATCTGTGCAATTTGAGCCCTACTTTAAATCTTATGCTGAAGTAACGAAAACACAACAAGAAAATCATTCTGGCAATTACAACACAGATTTTTTAAAATTTGGTTTGGTCATATAACCTTTTCTACGACGGATTTCGTACTCGTAGAGCCCCAGTAATTTCGAGGTCCATATTGACCCCATGTTTTCTGCGGGAAACCTCAAAACATAATCTTTCATGAAAGTAGGAGGGGATTTGTGCGATGGAGATATATATGTGGCGTGTAAATAGGGTACGCGTGTTTATTTCTATTACATGTAAGTACAAGGTACGTTACAATTAAGTTTGATACTGAATCCGAAATGTTCGATTTACAAATTTTCCAACAAGTAAACTTTATTTATAAATTGGTATCAACGAACTAAAATATGTACAACTGCTCTTTGCGTTCTATATTGAACTATGTATAACTATTCTACATCAAATACATAACTATACAACTGGTGCAAATTTGTCAGTTACAAATTGTCCTCAGTCGGGATCAAACTTGTCCTTTTGTTACACATTATATACACTATACAAGCTACAACACTGTACAAATCCGTGTTCCTTACAGGCACCAACCTGTTCTTCATTACACTTCAACGAAATGGTATATATAAGAGATAACAATCTCAAATATCCACATACCGTACCTTAGACTGATGTCTTTGTAGACTGATGACAAACCTTGACAACCCATGAGGGTCTCGCACGGTCGGTAATGAGCAAGACTTGAAGTCACGCCTGCATATATACGACTATGATAGTCGTACTATTCTTGAAGGAAGGGCGTTCCCTTAAAATTCCTCATAACTTGTATCAGGGTTTCCTGTGGAACACCCCTTCACATTTGACCTGACATAAAATTTTGCCGCAAAACATCTTGCTCCTTTTTATGTGTTATCTAAGTATATACAAATACGTAAAATAAAGCTTCTACCGAACTGAAACTGATGTAAAATATATAATCTAAGATACAAAATCATCACATATATGTAGAAAAAAACATAAAACAAACAATACATATTTTACATATTTTACAAAAAATATTGTAATAAGAAATGCAAACACATTTAATCTTATTACATTTGTACTTACAAAAATCAAGCAGATGTT